CTTTGAGCCATTCCTGTTACCTTCTCCTCTATCCCTGAAACAGAATTTATCTTTACATGACTTGTTTGAGAATCTGGCTGACCTCTGGGTTAATTTGGGTGTTATGGGATAGTGACTATGGGACACACACACACACACACACACACACACATTTCAGTTTTCTATAGTAGTTGCTTATGTTTTTTTAAAGATTTATTTATTTATGCATACAAGAGCTGGGGTGTAGGCCAGAGGTGTGGGGGGCAAGAGGATTCACCAGACAGAGTGGGGAACAGAACAGGCAGATTGACTGAAATACACTGCTAAGGCAGGCGAGTCAGGAGAGATCAGCTGCACCATGAGGGTAGCTCCCTGGTCGGGCATCAAACTCATGCTGCAGTGGCTGAGGATAGTTTCACAGTGCAGTGCTTAACCCCTTGCGCCACCAGGGAGGCCCAGTTCCTTATTTTTTAATATCTGAAAATCCAGACTAACCACCAAGATAAAGGATGTCTGTTGATTTGTTTTTGCATTCAACTAACTGATATTTATTGAGCACTTGCAAGGTCCCAAGTACTACTCTAAGTGCTGAGGATACACTAGTCAACAAAATAGAAAAAAATGTCCCTACCTTACTGGAACTTAGCTCTTTGTGGTAGAGCTATAAAATAAATGAGACCAGGTAAATTATACAGTGTGTTAGAGATAAATGTCAATGAGAAAAAAGTAATATAGGAATGAAGATGTGATTTATCAAAGAGGGTTGTCTGAAATTTTACATAGGGTGGGTAGTCAAGATCTGCTGTGGGGCCTCCCTGGTGGCGCAGCGGTTGAGCGCTGGCTTGCGAAGCTGCCCTCAGCCCCTGCAGCGCTGGTTCGATCCCCGGCTGCTCCCCGGACACTGGAGGAGGGTCCCACATGGCGCGCAGACCTCTGCTGCCGCCCGCTGTTCCCCTCAGCAGTGTACTTCAGTCCTTCTGCCTGCTCTGCTCCCCGCTCTGGCTCTGGTAAATTCTCTCAGCCTCCCGTGCTTCTGACTGTACCCAGTGCTTGTATAAATAAATAAATAAACAAAAAAAATCTTTTGTGGGGATTATTATTTACAGACCTGAGAGAGGTGCAAGAGTTTGTTATGTAAATATCTGGGGATGAGAGCCTTCCATGAGAGAAAACAGTTAGTGCAAAGGTCCTGATATAGGATACAACTTGCACTTTCATTCCAAGAACCCAGAGTCCAGTGACTGGAGCAGAGTGAGCAGTGAACCAAACGGAGCCAAACAAGAGGTCAGGTGAGAGGGACAAAGGATAAAGGAAGAGAAGAGGGTGCCAAAGTGGAGCCCGGCAAGTCACTGGAAGAGTCTTGGCTTAGTCTGAGAAAGGATGTAACCAAAGGGTGAATAAATGGAGTTTCTCCTTGCATAAAATCTCCTTGCACGTAATCTTCTACAACACATATATTATTTTGACTGTGTACAGTTTTCACAAGTGCAACTTTATTGCACATGACAATGTGCTTAGTGGTGTGGGGGCTTCTCTCAGTCCCCTTCTGTGGTTTAAGGAATCACATCATTAATATGAAATGCTCTGAATTTCTTGCAGCTGCAGATTAAAATTTAGGCAGGCTGAAAAAGCAAAATCATAATATAGTTGGAGCTTTTTTGCATGCTATGGAAGATAACCATCGGTGTAGCTACTACTTCACCGAAACAATGATTTGTTTCTCTCAAGAACATTAATGTTTAATTCTTGCCAAAACCAATGGTCTTCATCCTACTTGTGTTTTCAGCAGCATGAAGCATGGCGGGCAGTTTCTTCCTTCTTGAATGAGTCTAGGGTTTACACGCCATCATCCTGTGTTGCTCACGTTCCTCTGCTCACCTTCCTTCTCTGTCCTCCAGGTCTCAGGGTCTGGCCCTAGTCTCCTTCTCTTCTCTAGGCTTTTCCTAGATGATCTCACCTACAGCTCAAATATTAGATATAGACAGACAACACTAAAGTCTCTCTATAGTTTCCATAGAAACTTCAAGATTCTCTCTCTTATTCTGGGCTCCTTTTTTTTTTTTTGTTAAAGATTTTATTTATTTATACAAGCACTGGGTACAGTCAGAAGTGCGGGAGGGTGAGAGAACTCACCAGAGCCAGAGCGGGGAGCAGAACAGGCAGACTGACAAAGTACACTGCTGAGGGGAGCAGCGGGCGCAGCAGGAGAGGTCTGTCACGCCATGTGGGACCCTCGCCCGGCCGCTGGGGATCGAACCGGCACTGCAGAGACTGCAGGCAGCTTCGCAGCCCAGTGCTCAATCACTGCGCCACCGGGGAGGCCCTTATCCTGGCCTCCTTTGCATACACAATATATCTCAAATCTAATGTACCTAATCCATAACTATGGCTGCAATTTTCAGTGTGTCTGCACCCCACCCTCTTAGTCCTCCCCATCTTGGTCGATAATGTATGACTACCCAGCAGTCCTCCTTAATCCTCTCTTCCTTCTTGCCTACCATATAATCCATTATATAGTTAATAGGTCCTTTGAGCTATATCCCCCCTCCCCTCCCCGCCATACACCTTGGACCTGATCACTGCCTAGCAACCACAGTTAGCCAGCCACGCCACTGACATCTCTCTCCTCCAACAGCCATCTCCCTGATCACTCAGACTTCCTTCTTGCCTGGCTAGGCTCCATCCCCCACATAGCAGCGACAGTGATCTTTCTCAAATATACACAGATGGAGTTACCTTCCTGCCTAAACCCTCTAAAAGCTTTCCAGGAAACTTAGAACAAAATCCAAATTGCTTCTCTTGGCCTGGAAGGCCCTATGTGCTCTGGCCCACTTCATCATATTCAAATATGGACATACTTGGATTCTCAAACGGCCCTGTCCCAAGGCTCTGGCCCAGTTGTTTTCCACTGTATGGTACTTTGTGATACTTACAAGTGAACATATTATCTTTTTGGTGGGGAGTGGTGTTTTTTATTGGTATTTTCTAAAAATTAAAAAAAAACCCAAAACACCAAAAAACAGTAAGCTCCTTGAGGACAAGAGTGCTGTCTACTTTCATGTCAAGCATCTCCTTTTAGTGTCTAATTGGTCCTGGACCAATTTGGTAGAGGACAAAACAGGGAACAGAATGTTCTGAGCAGTTTCCTGGGAAATTTTGGCACTTTCAGGACTTGAGCTCAGTGGTTCTTAATCTTTTATTTGGTTACACACCCATTTGAGAATCTGATAGAAACTCAGGTCTGTGTCCCTATAAAATCTGTAGACAGAGCTTTTATACACAATTTTAGGGGATTTGCTGGAAGTCTGCACTAAACTCCGGGTCAAGGGCAGCTGCTTCTGAGTTTTATTTAATTTTTTTTAAAACTAAACCTTTATTTATTTAAAATTTTTTTTTAAGATTTATTTATTTATGCATACAAGAGCTGGGGTATAGGCCAGAGATGCAGGGGGTGAGAGGATTCACCAGAGACAGAGTGGGGAACAGAACAGGCAGACTGACTGAAATACACTGCTGAGGGGAGCAGCGGGTGAGACAGGAGAGGTCTGCTGCGCCATGTGGGTAGCTCCCTGGCCGGGGATCGAACTCATGCTGCAGAGGCTGTGGATTGCTTCATAGTGCGGTGCTTAACCCCTTGCACCACCAGGGAGGCCCTACTTCTTAGTTTTATGGCACTAACTCTGTACAAGATCTACTTTCACTGTTATGACTGCTTTCCTAGTTTGAAAGTCAGTCTCAGTACTCATTTG